ACCTCCAGTTACAATAAGTACCCTCTATTTCTTCTTTGAGTGATTGTCCTTGTGTGTATTCCACATGTGGTTGACTGGTAAGCAATGTTCAGACTGGAGGAGAGTGCAAGGAAGCAGCTGGTATACAGTTGCAGCTTGAGTTAGAGCATAGTGTGTCATGAACGTGTGGACAGACCTCCAAGTTGCTGCTCTGCAGCAGAATGTCCAATAAGGATGCCGTGGAAGTAGCTTGTGCTCACATGGAGTGAGCTGTAATACCCCCAGGAGGGGGAAGTTTTGCTGTAGGTATTGTTATACATATTTCCATAGGTTCAAAGGGCGGATCTGAGAGTGTTGTCAGGAGAAGGTTAAGGTCCCATTGAGAGGTAGGTTTAATGACCGGTGGGAAGGTTCTGATCAAGCCCTTCATAAATCACACAGTAACCAGGTGCATGAAGACAGAACATCCCTTCACCAGAAGGAGAAAGGCACTAATCAATGCTAGGAGTACTCGCAGCAAACTTAGAGCCAGACCTGAAGTCTTTAAGCAGAGGAGATAGTTTAGGATAACTGGAATGCACACGGTGGTGGTGAGGTACCCAGGCTGAAAAGTACCACCATTTAGCCAGGTAGCAGGCTCTAGTAGAATCCTTTCTAGTTTGGGTAAGGATTTGCTGAACAAGGACAGAGCATGAATGTTTTATTTCTGACGCCCATCCAAGTACCAGGCCATAAGGTGGAGTGAGCCCAAGTTAGGGTGCTTGATCTCCCCCCTACCCCCGTCCTGAGCTAGGAGATCCTAAAATAGTCATATCCTGATAGGTTGGTATGCTGACATCATTAGGAGTTCCGTGAACCAGAACTGTCTGGACCAGTAGGGTGCTAGGAGGATAATGGTGGCTCTGTTATAACAGATCTTCTGTACATCTTGAGGTAGTAGGGGGAAGGAAGGAAAGGTGTATCTGAGGTCATCCATCCAGGAAAGCAGGAGAGCATCGCCCTGGGAATCGCAGCTTATGGCTCCCCTGGAGCAATACATGGAAGCTTTTTGTTCATCTGGGATGCAAAGAAGTCTCAGCGGAGTACCCCATTGTGCGAATATGTTGGTTAGAAATGTGTTGTGGATCTCCCATTTCTGGTCTGCAGATAAGCATCTGCTTAACCTGTCTGTCAGGGAGTTGTGAACCAATATAACTGTCCACCTATCTCTAGAAGTGCACAATACCGAAGATTTAGCGCACCCGGAGGTGGGCACCAATGGAGGTTTAGCCTTATACCATAGCAAGGAACCCACCAGAGGTAGAGCTATGTCCAACTGTATCAGTCTGGAAGAACGTCCCTCTTTGCTATCTCTATCATGTCCAGATGGAACTAAAGCTTGCTCGGAGCAGTGTTTGCTCTTAGATGAGCTTCAGGGTTTTCCAATCCCACTGGAACTGGAGGAGCCCCTTGTCTCTACAGTACCAGTTCAAGAGGTTGAATTTTCTGAGATGGTTGACCTACTGGGAGACCAAGGTCTTTTCAGAGCAGACTCTTTACAAGGGGAGTCAGAGCTCTTCTTCCAGAGACCTTTTGAGGAGCACTCTGGAGTCTTTTCCTTTCTGGGGGAGTGCTGAGCCGAGTTTGAAGGGACACTGGATCTGCCTGGAGATTGCCGACCTGACTCTGAAGCAGGGCAAAGGGAACGCTCCATCATAACTTAGCCTCAACTTGATCTCCAGGTTCTTCTTCACCCTGGAATTAAGGGCTGGACAAAAGCCACATTTAGGTGGGACGTGTGACTTTTCTAGGCAGCGAACACATTTGCAGTGCTGCTGCTAACCAGGTTGGGCTCCTGGCAAGCAAGGCAATGTTTAAACCAGGGGCGGGCAAACTTTTTGGCCTGAGGGCCGCATCGGGTTTCGTAAATTGTATGGAGGGCTGGTTAGGGAAGGGGGTCGTGGTCTGGCCCCGACCTCATATCTGCCGCCCCCCCGCCCCCGGACTCCTGCCCCATCCAACCACCCCGTTCCCTGACGGGCCCCCCCAGGACCCCTGTCCCATCCACTCCCTCTCCCTCCCTCCCCCCCGCCCCCTGTCCCCTGACTGCCCCAGGACCCCCGCCGCCCCATCCAACCCCTCCTCTCATTCCTGACGGCCCCCCGGGACCCCTGCCCCATCCAATCACCCCTTCTCCCTGGAGCCGGGCCACGCCGGTGCTGCCACCACGCAGCACAGAGCACCAGGTCAGGCCAGGCTCTGCAGCTGCGCTGTCCCAGGAGCTACCAGCCCTGCCGCCCAGAGCATTGCGCCGGTGGTGGAGTGAGCGAGCTGAGGCTGCGGGGGAGGGAGGACAGCAGGGGAGGGACCGGGGGCTAGCCTCCCGGGCCAGGAGCTCAGGGGCCGGGCAGGATGGTCCCACAGGCCGGATGTGGCCCGCGGGCTGTAGTTTGCCTACTTCTGGTTTAAACCCTGGTGAGCCAGGCATGCCCTCCTGAGGAAGACAAGCCTCCCCAGAAGGAGGGGAGAAGAAAAAATAATCCTCCCAACTACTAAACTAAGCTAATCTAACAAACTAGACTGAACTAAACTATAAACTAGGAAAAAATTATTTTCGCCAAGGCACACTTGAGGTGGACCTGCTAAAACTCCATCTCAAGCCGAGGTGGTTGAGAAGGAACTGAGGGTGGTCTGCCCAAGCAGACCTATTTAGCCTCACTGCATGGCATGAGGATGTATAGGACATGTGGACCAAACAGACACTGTTAACGAAGATCTTCGATTGAAGACCCATGGGCACATGTACACCTGAAGAGGAACACCCATAAGGACACTACTCACAGAAGAGCAGGTTCCTGTAATAAAGAGGCAGCAAGACTGGACTTGTAATGAATTTTATAAATTCATATAGGGGAAGCAGTCCAGATGCCAAGATGTTTGACCAATCAGCTGCCACTATGGCCAAGGTTAACGCCATGACTGGGACGGTCTTGAGAAATGCCATTTTCAGGACACGTGGTATTTCATGATGGACTTCACTCTTACTTTTCAAGGACAGGATCTCGAGTTCTCTGAGGAGCTGCAAAAGCTAAAAAATGCTATGGTGGAACTCACAGCAATAAGAGATAATCCTAGGACTTATGCCCAAACATTTATCAGGAAAGCAAGTTTGCAGGGACCATATTGGACCTTGGTGGCAAAGTCACAGAAACATCAGATATACATGTTTGAAGATACTATTGAACACATGAATGTCACATTCATTAAGGGTCCAACAGCTATCAAATTGTTTCAAAGATCTGGTTCCACACAATAATAAGAAAACAATTGGCCTGTTACTGGCAATGTACAAACTGACAATCTGCTGGATCACTGTACAAATGTATAGAGTGAGGAAGAAAAGGAGACTGCTAAACAAATGACTCCCCGTAAGCCTTGCGGGAGCCCTAGGCATAACTAACAGTGTGAATCAAAGGCTGTGAACCAGCATACGCCAGGCCTTGGCAGAATGACAACACATTAGGTACACCTCTACCCCGATATAACGCGACCCGATATAACACAAATTCGGGATATAACGCGGTAAAGCAGTGCTCCGGGGGGGCGGGGCCGCGCACTCCAGCGGATCAAAGCAAGTTCGATATAACGCGGTTTCACCTATAATGTGGTAAGATTTTTTGGCTCCCGAGGACAGCGTTATATCGAGGTAGAGGTGTATTAGAAAGCACATTCCTGACCTGAGAGGATGGTATAGAAATGCCCAGAGTTCTCAAGTAACTGCATAAACACATTTCTAGGAAATGCTACACTCATGGTCCCACAGACCCCTCATAAGATAAGGAGGGAAGGACAGGATAATGGATGAAGATGTTTTGTTCAAACTAGCCCATACAAGGTACAGGATTATAACAAAAAGCATATGGAATGTAATATGTAACTTGTTTGTATCAATATATGAAAAGAAAATCATGCAGGGCATCTTTGTAATAGTTTAGGGGATAGCATCCTGGTCTATTGATTGAACTGGTACCTCGTGTCACGGAGTGTGGGGGAACACAAGGCCCTGCACCCCCGGCTTCCTGCGATTCACCATGACTCTCAGCCAGCCAGTAAAGCAGAAGGTTTATTTAGACAACAGGAATACAGTCCAAGACAGGTCTTGCAGGCACAGACAACAGGACCCCCCTCGGTTAGATCCATCTTGGGCTCCCAGGGCGCCCCAGCCCCCCTGGGAGGTCAGAGCCCCGTCTGCCTCCCAGCCATCTCACCAGCCAGCCCCTCAAACTCCTCCTTCAGCGACCCCTCCCACAGCCTTTGTTCAGTTTCCCGGGCAAAGGTGTCACCTGGCCTCTAACCCCTTCCTGGGTTCTCATGTTACATGCTCAGCTATTCTCCGTCGGTCAGTCTCCCATCCCCTAATGCAGACTATCCTAGCCACACTCCCCTGTCAGCATTCAAAGACCACAGTAAGAACAGTCCCAGTTCGTCACACCTCGTCCTATGGGGCACTAAGACAGTGCTTTGTTGACAGTAAACCTGGCCGAGTGCCTTTGCCACCAAACTGAGCATGTGGTCTTTCTTTAGGAATGAGATCAATACGTTGCATTTTCTTCTAGTGCAGCTAACACCAGAGCTCCAAGAATAGCAGCCCTACCAGCATTAATACGGCAGCACTAGCAACATTCCACAGCATGAACACCACTCTCCAAAATTCCACATCAAATCACCATGCACATGACATGCTTCTAACAATGCTTTTGGTGGAAATAACATTCATTGAATTGTAGTAGTTTTGTAGTAGAAGATGGGTTTTCCACAGCTAAATTAACGAATAAAATCATGTACATATAAACTGAAAAGCACATTCCTGAACTTGATGAAACATATAAGTAAATGGCCCACATGTTGAGCTAGCTATTTTTTACTGGTTCTACAACCTGGCAGTACTACTTGCTACTATAGTGTATAGCGCGCCCCTCCCCTGGATAATTTTTAAGAGTGCTCGAGAGCTTGTTACTAGAGATTAGTGTTTAAAGTTTTACCTTTGTTTTGAAGGCACACCTACAGTAAATATTTGATGTACGAGAGCAGGATCCACATTCTCCTTCATGGCAAAGATTTTCACATGTATGAATGAAATCTATCAAAAATGAAAATGTAAGAATGATTTGTAAATTAAACCTTTTAATTTAACATTGGTACTTTATATCTATGTCATATGAACATCAGTGGTCACATTGAGGCTTCTGCATGAGTTGGGAGCTGCAGGCACAAGACACTGCCTTCAAATCATCCTCCCTTAGTATTTCATGTATGTGTTACAGATTTTATGTCAAAAAAAGTATAAGAATTTGGTGCATTATAAGATTTGCAACTTAAAGTTGTGTATTGCTTTGAAATATTTAAAAAAGGTTCACAATTATTTGTTCGTTCATTTTAGTAAGTCTATGGCCTCTAGAGTTTCAGTTCCACAATTTTTATACTAGTAGTATTAAAAATAGACACTTTGCTAAACACTTTTCATATAAATATATAGAATCAAACTTGTGATTTAATGTGGTGCTGTATAACCAGATGAACAATTGAGGAGCACTATGTTAAAAACCATTTTGAACACAAAATTTCCCTATATGTATAATCTGATTTTTTTTTTTTTAATTAAACATTCATTTTTCACTATGTATAGTGACTTTCTGTAGGTTATTTAGCTTGGAAAAGGAAAATAAAAATTAGCCACTTCCCATAATATCTGTGGTTCTTCAAAATGATTGCCTGCATGGATCCAAACTGTATGAGAGGCATAGTGACTTGTGTGCGTGAACTTGGCACTCTTTAGAGAGCAACATCTATTGGAGAAAAAAGTTTGCCCACCTCTAAAGAGCAAGTTGCTTCACATGAAGAATACTGAACAGACACAAAAATGTATCTGAGTTTATCTGAAAATTTCCTCTCTCCAAATAATAAGGTCCACAGATTCATTACAGTGGGACTCCAGTCTAATTTTCAGTCTGAAGATCAAACCAGACCTGCCAATCCTTGGAAGGAAATGATCCCACCCCTGAACAGCATGCCACTTTGAGATAAAATCCACAGCAAAAGATAACCAAATGGTCAGTAGACTAATATGGAATTCATTTCAAGAATAACTATTTATGCACCTCATAGCTTAAGCAAAAACTTCAAAATTTGTCATCTGAATCAAAAGATATAATGAATCCCAGTTTGCAACAGAACATCAGCCCCAAATAGTTCACAGGTTGAATTTAAGTCTTTGACATAGCTGAGGCTGAATCCATTAGTTACTTTGAAAATTAGGGCCAATGCCTTAAATTGGCATTGAAAGCTGACCAGGAGCCAGGGGATGGACTTGGTTCCTGATGTGCTCATGACAGCCTCAGCCATGGGAACCTGTCCGAGCTGGAACCTATGCATCATCTTCACATTCAGCTTCACATACAGTTAACTACAGCGATCTGTACCCTCAGCCTGGGGGAGAGGTAGACATGCTGGAAGGTAGGGATAGTATGACCTAGACAAATTGGAGGATTGGGCCAAAAGAAATCTGATGAGGTTCTACAAGGACAAGTGCAGAGTCCTGCACTTAGGACGGAAGAATCCCATGCACTGCTACAGGCTGGGGACTAACTGGCTAAGCGGCAGTTCTGCAGAAAAGGACCTGGGGATTACAGTGGACGAGAAGCTGGATGAGAGTCAACGTTGTGCTCTTGTTGCCAAGAAGGCTAACAGCATATTGGGCTGCATTAGTAGGAGCATTGCCAGCAGATAGAGGGAAGTGATTACTCCCCTCTATTTGGCACTGATGAGGCCACATCTGGAGTATTGCGTCCTGTTTTGGGCCCCCTACTACAGAAAGGATGTGGAAAAATTGGAGAGAGTCCAGCGGAGGGCAACGAAAATGATTAGGGGGCTGGGGCACATGACTTATGAGGAGAGGCTGAGGGAACTGGACTTATTTAGTCTGCAGGAGAGAAGAGTGAGGGGGGATTTGATAGTAGCCTTCAACTACCTGAAAGAGGGTTGACAGATGACAGAACAAGGAGCAATGGTCTCAAGTTGCAGTGGGGGAGGTCTAGGTTGGATATTAGGAAAAACTATTTCACTAGTAGGGTGGTGAAGATCTGGAATGGGTTACCTAGGGAGATGATAGAATCTCCATCCTTAGAGGATTTTACGGCCTGGCTTGACATAAGAACATAAGAATGGCTGTACTGGGTCAGATCAAAGGTCCATCCAGCCCAGTATCCTGTCTACCGACAGTGGACAATGCCAGGTGCCCCAGAGGGAGTGAACCTAACAGGTAATGATCAAGTGATCTCTCTCCTGCCGTCCATCACCACCCTCTGACAAACAGAGGCTAGAGACACCATTCCTTACCCATCATGGCTAATAGCCATTAATGGACTTAACCACCATGAATTTATCCAGTTCTCTTTTAAACCCTGTTATAGTCCTAGCCTTCACAACCGCCTCAGGCAAGGAGTTCCACAAGTTGACTGTGCGCTGCGTGAAGAAGAACTTCCTTTTATTTGTTTTAAACCTGCTGCCCATTAATTTCATTTGGTGACCCCTAGTTCTTATATTATGGGAACAAGTAAATAACTTTTCTTTATTCACTTTCTCCACACCACTCATGATTTTATATTCCTCTATCATATCCCCCCTTAGTCTCCTCTTTTCCAATCTGAAAAGTCCTAGCTTCTTTAATCTCTCCTCATATGGAACCCGTTCCAAACACCTAAGCATTTTAGTTGCCCTTCTCTGAACCTTTTCTAATGCCAGTATATCTTTTTTGAGATGAGGAGACCACATCTGTACGCAGTATTCAAGATGTGGGCGTACCATGGATTTATATAAGGGTAATAAGATATTCTCCATGTTATTCTCCATCTTATTCTCTATCCCCTTTTTAATGATTCCTAACATCCTGTTTGCTTTTTTGACTGCCGCTGCACACTGCATGGACATCTTCAGAGAACTATCCACGATGACTCCAAGATCTTTCTCCTGATTAGTTGTAGCTAAATTAGCCCCCCATCATATTGTATGTATAGTTGGGGTTATTTTTCCCAATGTGCATTACTTTACACTTATCCACATTAAATTTCATTTGCCATTTTGTTGCCCAATCACTTAGTTTTGTGAGATTTTTTTTTGAAGTTCTTCACAGTCTGCTTTGGTCTTAACCATCTTGACCAGTTTACTATCATCTGCAAACTCTGCCACCTCACTGTTTACCCCTTTCTCCAGATCATTTATGAATAAATTGAATATTCACTGGCAGGACCGGTTCTACCTTCAAAATGACAAATAGGCTGATGACTTAGTATAACAGATCTGTGGAGAGTATGTGATTTTAAGTTGGCCTTCAAAAGTTCAAGGTTTATTGGGAGACTAATGGAGACAAACTCTTAAAAACCCTTGAACAGAATAGGGAGGAAGAGCGTGTCAACGCTGACAACCGTTTGGCAATAAAGAAAGGTAAGGTTGTCAGTAGCATCTTCATCTTCCCGTTACACTGATGATAAAGAGGGCTGGAGGAGAGAATTGCTGGTAAGAAGACTCTTAGGCAAAGGAGATCTTGCTGATATAAGCCTTTTTTCGCTCTTCTCTTCTACACAATTGTCCTTGGGTCTTCTGCGATATGGGCAACTGCGCCCATGTAGCTCAACAGATCTAAGATATTTTTATTCCATATGGATATGGTGAACTTATCTCTGAAGGGACCCATCAGCAAGGAGTCATTCAAGTAGTAGATGCTGCCTCACCTGATCCATGGTGAACAGAAGGACTCTCAGTAAGTGATGTCAGAGTGGACCTTGGACCCTATCCCTGGGAGCAGTGAGGCAAAAAGTGCAAGGTCCACAAGAGCACCAGAGCAAATGCCATTTAAAAGTTTCATTTTTATTGTATATACGTGTTTGCTTACAATTAACTTTTCTGTAAAGGATAAAGGGCACTGACAGGGAAATGACACGCCGTAGAACTCAGCTGGCTGGCCAGAAAGATCTGGAGGAACTAAGGACATGGAGACACAGGCAGGGTTCATATGCAGTCCCATTGGACACTTGTTTTCTAGAAATTTCTGCACTTGCCTCCCACAACATGTGTACCACCTACAGTGGGGATCCACATAGGCAATGCTAAAAAAGCTGGTCAGTTTCATTTGTTTCTAGACAGCTGCACTTTCTGGTTCTCAAGTACTATTACAATTATTCAAGATTTGGGTTGCAAATTCTGTGGAGGCTTTTATAAATTCAACTTGACTACAACCACTATGAACACTTTCTACTCATACTGGATTTTTGTTAATTCAGAATCTATTTAAAAATAATCTGAACTACCTGTCTCTTTAATAATGGAATGCGTTTGTAAGTGTTTAAAGCAGAAAGTTCTAGTTACCACGGCTACCACAAGGTAGAGGTTTGCCACATGTTTTTCCACACGATGGGATGGGATCCGTGCACAGTTTACGCTCAATACATCCTAGTTTTAGTAATCTGCTAAGAGGAGTCTGCCCACAAGGACAGGAGTGCACTACTTGGGGAAGTCGTGGACAAAGTTGGCAGGGCTCAGGATGACATATCTGCATACAGCTGTGCCTTCCACAATTTAATTTTCTAAAAATGAAATATATAAGGAATTATAAGGATATCACAGTCACTGAGTGTTAAATAAAATGTAATTTTTGCTTTAGGTTTTTTGGGGAGAAAGAGACCCTTACTTGTCACATGTCTTCTGGCAGGAGAACTTTCCAAATCCATCAGAAAACTCTTCATTTGTTCCACACAATACATCTCGAAAGGTACTCCCACAGTAGCAGACTATGGGAAATCAAACAATAAGAAAAAAACCCAGTATTACCACAAACAAGGAACACTAAACACTGTATATGCAGGACAATACTAAATTTGAAAAACTGAACATAAAAATTCAAAATGTATTAAAACAACCTTTAAAAGTGTACTTTAGTTGCTCTATTTAGACTTGACTTATCTGTGTACACTTCTGTAGCTGTATACAGACTGAGTTTCTATATTACTTTTATTAGCAAAAGATACTAATAAAAGAGAGAAGCAATAAAAAGGACAAACTACTTGCAAAAGAGGGCTTAATCAGTACAGCAATACTTGAAATTCAAAAAATAATGCAAATTAATCTTGAATGAGAACTTTTATCTTAAACTAAACTTCAAAAAATTTACATAAAAAAGAAATGCAAGCATTTTCCTTGTAAATATCACAAAGGCCTGGTCTACACTAGGCTTTTATGTCGACTTTAGCGCTGTTATATCGAATTAACCCTGCACCCGTCCACACCAGGAAGCCATTTAGTTCGACATAAAGCTCTCTTTAAATCGATTTCTGTAATCCTCCCCAACGAGAGGAGTAGCGCTAAATTCGACATGGCCATATCGAATTAGGCTAGGTGTGGATGGAAATCGACGGTAATAGCTCCGGGAGTTATCCCACAGTGCACCACTCTGTTGACGCTCTGGACAGCAGTCCGAGCTCGGATGCTCTGACCAGCCACACCCCCGGGAAAATTTGAATTCATTTTCATTTTCCTGTCTGGGCAGTTTGAATCTCAGTTCCTCTTTGGACATCGAGGTGAGCTCAGCAGCAGTGGCAACGATGCAGAGCTCTCCAGCAGAGATGGCCGTGCAATCTAATAGAAAGAGGGCCCCAGCATGGACTGATCGGGAAGTCTTGGATCTCATCGCAGTGTGGGGCGATGAGTCCGTGCTTTCAGAGCTGCGCTCCAAAAGAAGGAATGCTAAGATCTACGAGAAGATCTCCAAAGCCATGGCAGAGAGAGGCTACAGCCGGGATGCAACGCAGTGCCGCGTGAAAATCAAGGAGCTGAGACAAGGCTACCAGAAGACCAAAGAGGCAAACGGACGCTCCGGATCCCAGCCCCACAGATCCCGTTTCTACGAGGCACTGCATTCCATCCTTGCTGCGGCCGCCACCACTACCCCACCACTGACCGTGGACTCTGAGGATGGGATATTGTCCACGGCCGGTTCCTCAGCGGACGGGGAAGAGGAGGAAGGAGATGAGGAGGACGAGGCAGTCGACAGCGCTTACCAAGCTGATTTTCCCGACAGCCAGGAGCTCTTCATCACCGTTACAGAGATCCCCTACCAACCCTCCCCAGCATGTAACCTGGACACAGATTCAGGCGAAGGATCAAGCGGTAAGTGCTTTAAACATATTAACCTTTATTTTTTACAAAACTTGAATATTAATACTAACAACAATCTGTGAATCATGATTTCTTCCCCCTGGGCGCTTAAGTAATCAGTAACAACTATTTAAAAACAAAAATCAAATAGTGTCCGGTTCTGCATGATTGTGCTGCCCAAGCTGCTCCACTCTTTAGTGCCTGCTACTGCAGCTATATTAGAATCCTGTCTATATGTCCGGGGATAGAGCAGTAGTCCTCCACGGACATCTCCACAAAGCTCTGCTGCAGGTAATGGGATAGCCTGTTCATCAGGTTCCTGGGGAGAGCGGCTTTACTTGGTCCTCCGAAGTAGGAGACGTTCCCGCGCCAGGAGACAAGCAGGTACTCCGGTATCATTGCCTTGCATAGCATGGCGGCATAGGGCCCCGGTCTCTGCAGGCTTTCTCGAAGCATCCGTTGGATCTCGGTGTCCGGGATGTTCATGAGAGTTATGTCGCTCATGATGACCTGCTTTGAATTAGGTAGGGGACTGTTAGTATTGGGACTGCTTGCAACAAGTTCCTTTACAGAACTGTGACCGCTGGTTTACAGCCACGCGGTGGGGGCGGGAGAGGGGCAGCATACAGGGATCTTTCCCTGGCTCATCCGCGAGGGGGTGGGACAGGGCCAGAGTTCCTGCTTGGCCGATTGCTGGCAGCACAGACTGGCAGTGCTTTCAATGTGAAAGGAGGCCAGTGGTACTCCTACAGTTTTAAGCAGCCACAAGTCTACGGCTTACCATGTTTGCCTGCTACAGAGAGTACCGTGTCCTGCCCCGCTTCCCAGATCGGCAGTGCAAAAGCCCAGGCACTGAAGGCGAGGTTCGAAAATTCGACCTTGTCCGGAGTGCGCATGTGATAGGTGTGGTTCATGGTCTTGTTCACAGAGAAAAACTATGTTCTTGATTCACAACCACATTTATCTTTCGGAGGAATTCACTGCCTTTTCCTCATTCCCACAGCCACATCTGCAACTGTCTCCTAACCCAGCTTGGCATCACACTCCCAGAGGCTAGCGCACATTAGGCGGAGAAAGAAGAAGACGCGAGAGGACATGTTCTCAGAACTAATGGGCTGCTCCTGAGCCCAGGCAGCACAGCAGAACTAGTGGAGGGAGAATTTGTCACAAATGCACCGGACACACATGGAACGTGAGGAGAGGTGGCGGGCAGGAAGACCAGCAGGCGACTCAAACGCTGCTTGGACTTCTGAGGGAGCAAACGGACACGCTCCGGCGCCTTGTTGATGTTCTGCAGGAACGGAGGCAGGAGGACAGAGCCCCGCTGCAGTCTATCAGGAACCGCAGTCCCCCGCCACCAAGTCCCATACCCCCCTCTCCCAAAGTCCAAAGAAGGAGGGGTGGCAGAGTCCGTGAAAACTCTCACTCCACCCCTGCAGACTGCTCAAGCACCAGAAGGCTGTCATTCCCCAAAATTTGAAAAGTCCTTTCCTGCCCGCCTCACCCAAGCCCCCGTCCGACTTTCACCCCCCAGTTTCCTGTCTGGTTGTTAATAAAAAATATGTTTCTGTTCATTACTGTTTCAGTCAGGTTACTTTGTGGCGGGGGAGGGCAGTTACAGATCTTATGCTGCAGTCCTTATCCTGGATCACAGAGCCACGCAGCAGGGGATCTGTAACCCTCCTCCCCCAGGCAGAAACTCACATAGCTGACACATACACGCAGTTCTGCCCAGGAGTGATGGCAGGCTCCGTTGAAACAACCAGTGCACCACTGCGGAGCCTGTCATTCCTGGAGTTTAGAAGCATCATTTGCATCAGAACACTAAACCCGCCCCCCGCCACTGTCTGCGTCCCCGGTTTAAAACATTCCCGCGAAAACAGTAATAAAGACAACGGTGTTCATTGACAAAATAGAACTGATTTTATTTTTTGGGAAGGGGGGTGAAGGGGGTATGTAACTGGAGGTTCAGCTTCTGTGTCCACAAACTTAACAGTCACTGGTTACCCTGCTCAGTCTGGAACCTTGCTTTCAAAGCCTCCCGGATGCACTCCACCACCATTCTGCACTTGCTCGGACGGTAGTTGAACAGTTCTTTTTCTGTGTCCAGGGCGCCAGTATAGGGCTTCATGAGCCAGGGCATTAGCGGGTAGGCTGGGTCCCCGAGGATCACTGTAGGCATCTGCACATCCACAAGAGTTGTTTTGGGGTCCGGGAAGTAAATACTTTCCTGCAGCCGTGTAAACAGACCAGAGTTCCTGAACACGCGAGCGTCATGAACCTTGCCCGGCCATCCGACGTTGATGTTGGTAAAACGTCCCCTATGGTCCACCAGTGCTTGCAGCACCATTGAAAAGTAGCCCTTTCTGTTAATGTACTGGCTGGCCTGGTGGTCCGGTCCCAGGATAGGGATGTGAGTCCCATCTATAGCCCCACCGCATTTTGGGAATCACATCGTGGCGAAACCATCTATGATGACCTGGCCGTTTCCCAGGGTCACTACCTTTGAGAGCAGTACCTTAACGATTGCGTTGGCTACTTGCATGACAACAACCCCCACGGTAGATTTGCCTACACCAAAGTGGTTCGCGACTGACCGGTAGCTGTCCGGCGTTGCAAGCTTCCAGAGGGCTATGGCCACTCGCTTCTGGACAGTCAGGGCTGCTCGCATCCGGGTGTCCTTGCGCTTCAGGGCAGGGGACAGCAACTCACAAAGTTCGAGGAAAGTCCCCTTTCGCATGCGAAAGTTTCGCAGCCACTGGGATTCGTCCCAGACCTGCAGCACTATGAGGTCCCACCAGTCCGTGCTTGTTTCCCGGGCCCAGAATCGCCATTCCACGATATCCACATGACCCATTGCCAACGTGATGTCCTGGGCGCTGGGGCTCGTGGTTTCTGACAGCTCTGTGCTACTCTCCGACTTCAGGCTCTCACGGCGGTGCCGTAGCCTCCTCGCCCGATTTCTCTGCATCTGCCTCAGGGAAAGGTGTATGATAAGCTGCGAGGTGTTGAGAACGGCCACAACTGCAGCGATGGTTGCAGTGGGATCCATGCTCGCAGTGCTGTGGCGTCCGCGCTGTCACTGATCAGAAAAGTGCGCGAACTGATTTCCCGCCGGCGCTTTCAGGCAGGGAGGTAGGGAGGTCGGTAGTGACGGACGGATGACGACAGTTACCCAAAAGCACCCTCTACACATTTTTTTACCCAGAAGGCATTGGCGGCTCGACCCATAATTCCAATGGGCAGCGGGGACTGCGGGAACTGTGGGATAGCTGCCCACAGTGCACCGCTTCCAATGTCGACGCTTGCCCCGTTAGTGTGGACTCACAAAGTCGAATTACTGTCCTTAGTGTGGACACACACGTTCGACTTTGCAATATCGATTCCACATATTCGATTTAAGTAAAATCGAACTACTCTCGTAGTGTAGACATACCCAAAGAAACGTACCATTATTATTATACTGTACTAGACATCTGGACATCATAGGAGCTACATGGGTTATCAGACCAGAGGTAAAATACTTTTAGCCATTTGAAAAGTGTGTGTGTTTATTTAAGTATACTTCTTTAAATGTACTTTTATACAGGTTTTCCGTTACTTTTCAAACTACTGATTAAAAAAGTCGTAGGGGTCACACATAAGTAAGATTTTCTGTAAAAAAAATTAAAATCAAGTGCCTGCCTGAAGCAAGACTTCTCTCAAATTTGAAAGTAAACTCACTGATAAAAGATAAGCATGCATTCAGCCTTTAGATGGAAAGGTGTTAGCTGTACTCATCATACATATAATTTATAGAATTACTAATTTATATAATTTGCAGTGATAGCAAATCCATTGCAATATTAATTAAAAGAAGCACAGCACCAACCCCTATAATTAGGCTGCCATTGTCCATTACAAAAAAATTCTTCTGACTTTTTTGGAACCACTCAATCTCCCATAGGACATTAAAATTTGGCAAGGGGATAATCTTCAGGCAGGCTGTGCTTGACTTTAACAAAAGTGAAGATGTCTTTTAGGTTCCAATCTAATAAAGTAAGGACACTTAAGCAACGACAGTAAAGAAACAACTTGAATGACAAAGCTAATCAGGTAACAACAAAATGGGTTAGAGAACAGTGCACAAATATTGACTGGAGCTGAGATTCATAAAAAGAAATCTCCTGTCCCATGAGTTAAAATGCTTGTCAGTGGGGGATTAGTATACTCTTGGGGAAAAAGAAGATCTCACTTTTAAGCAAATAGATAATTTTCCCTAAAAAGCTGGATGCATGTTTTATTATACAGTACCATTTAAAAACCTTTTTACTGGATGACTGGAAAAAGGCGAACGGAGTGCTCATCTTTAAAAAAGGGAAGGAGGAGGATCCGGGGAACTACAGGCCAGTCAGCCTCACCTCAGTCCCTGGAAAAATCATGGAGCAGGTCCTCAAGGAATCAATTATGATGCACTTAGAGGAGAGGAAATTGATCAGGAACAGTCAGCATGGATTCACCAAGGGCAAGTCATGCCTGACTAACCTAATTGCCTTCTATGACAAGATAACTGGCTCTGTGGATGAGGGGAAAGCAGTGGACGTGTTATTCCTTGACTTTAGCAAAGCTTTTGATATGGTCTCCCACAGTATTCTTGCCGGCAAGTTAAAGAAGTATGGACTGGATGAATGGACTATAAGGTGGATAGAAAGCTGGCTAGATCATCGGGCTCAACGGGTAGTGATCAATGGCTCCATTCTAGTTGGCAGCCGGTATCAAGCTGAGTGCCCCAAGGGTCGGTTTTGTTCAATATCTTCATTAATGATCTGGAGGATGGTGTGGACTGCACCCTCAGCAAGTTTGCAGATGACACTAAACTGGGAGGAGTGGTAGATACGCTGGAGGGTAGGGATAGGATACAGGGGGACCTAGACAAATTAGAGGATTGGGCCAAAAGAAATCTGATGAGGCTCAACAAGGACAAGTGCAGAGTCCTGCACTTCGGACGGAAGAATCCCATGCACTACTACAGACTAGGGACCAAATGGCTAGGCAGCAGTTCTGCAGAGAAGGACCTAGGGATTACAGTGGATGAGAAGCTGGATATGAATCGACAGTGTGCCTTTGTTGCCAAGAAGGCTAACGGCATTTTGGGCTGTATAAGTAGGGGCATTGACAGCAGATCGAGGGATGTGATCATCCCCCTCTATTCAACATTGGTGAGGACTTATCTGGAGTAGTGTGTCCAGTTTTGGGCCCCACACTACAAGAAGGATGTGGAAAAATTGGAAAGAGTCCAGCGGAGGGCAACAAAAATGATTAGGGAGCTGGAGCACGCGACTTACGAGGAGAGGCTGAAGGAACTGGCATTGTTTAGTCTGCAGAAGAGAAGAATGAGGGGGGATTTAATAGCTGCTTTCAACTATCTGAAAGGGGGTTCCAAAGGGGATGGATCTAGACTGTTCTCAGTGGTACCTGATGACAGAACAAGGAGTAATGGTCTCAAGTTGCAGTGGGGGAGATTTAGGTTGGATATTAGGAAAAACTTTTTCACTAGGAGGGTGGTGAAGCAGTGGAATGGGTTACCTAGGGAGGTGGTGGAATCTCCTTCCTTAGAGGTTTTTAAGGTCAGGCTTGACAAAGCCCTGGCTGGGATGATTTAGTTGGGGATTGGTCCTGCTTTGAGCAGGGGGTTGGACTAGATGACCTCCTGAGGTCTCTTCCAACCCTGAAATTCTATGATTCTATACCTTCCACATCTTCAGGGGAAGCTGCCTTCTTTTGTCTCCTTCCCCTTGTTCATTTGCACTCATCCCTAAAATTTGGGCCAGCAAGAAAAACTGGCCAAACTCACCATCACACCTTCGTCTTCACTGCAATATTAAGAATCAACAGGAGTTGCCATGATGTAAGCAGGGGCTGAATGGAGACTGGCTGTTGGCCACTCACTGGCTGCTCTACCTGCTCCACTCTTGTCCATATACTTTTGGAAGTCCACAACAGGAGAAGGCAGGCTGGCTGAACTTCCCCAGCTGTAGAGCTCTGAAGATGCACTGAAGCAAAGTTCCCTACTGCCAATATTAAAGAGGATGAAAGCAGCTCTGTTTCCACCTTTTGATGGTGCCCATCAGTACACTTTTTGCTGTACAGAAAACTAGTCTGTGCATGTGCTAATTGCCTTCCTTAGCTGTGCATTTTTTACAAATTTAGTGGAAAACCAGTCTTTAAAACGTACTGCATATCTTCAAGACTGTAATTTTTAAAAGGCTTATAACTTAATCAACACAAAACCAAATTTCAGTGGAACAAAGGCATTTCTCTTTAATGTGAGCTATTTCCATACAACAATTCAACTTCCTACCATTTTTACTGTTGAAAGTAATCAAAATAATATTCCAGTGTTTTTGTTTTGTTTTTTAATTTTGTTTTTCCACTCTCAAAAGTGGCTGAATCATTTTTTGCTCAGACTTTCCCCAAAATATTTACTTTAAGGCAAAGATTGAGCTTGAAAAATTTAATCCCAAAAGGTGAAATTCAAGATGATATAAGCAACTGAAAGCAGTTACAAAGCTATGGCAGTCACCACTCCCACTATACTGGAAGAGACTTTATGCACTATCCAAATTTTAGATTAAAACCCAGCCTAATTCTGGGTTTTACTGGAACAAATAAGCTCTTTATATAGCTGCATCAGCAAAAGGACAAACCTGAGACATGTTCCTGGGAAATATTAGAATGAATTTAAGTTAAGTTGTTTCAGTGTTCAGGAAATAATCACTAAATAAAAAGGTTTAAGATGTACTTGCATATATTAAGAATAAGGGCTAGTGACCCATTTTAAAGTAAGTGCAACTTCAACAGTCATTTTTTAAAAATCTTGGCCTTAAAGATTACCTGTTATTTTGTTCACTTTTGTACTCTAATTTATTAGTTTACTAGCAGTTAGCTAACTTAAAGAAACTGAAAAACAGCTCTACTGAACATACAAATCTAAGTACATTTCCACATGTCTGATACCTACCTTGCTGTACTGTAAGCTGGCAAGGATGACATTTTCCCACATGGCACACCTGGGCACAGTTATGCCTACCACAATTTAAAGTATTCCCACATACATTAGAACAATGAATTGTGGTGGATTGGCCGCAGCGAACTGAATGACTGTAGATAAATATGATACTGTAGTTAGTATAGTATCTTTTAGCTGGATTTAAGTATTTCACATATATATATATATTCCAATATATGCTGCAACATTCAAAGTAAACAAGTTCTATTTGTTAATGACAGATACATAATTCTGTTCAGGAATAATGCTGTGGCCTTAGACTCTTCTTACATCGCAACATAAAGAAAAGTGTTTGACGTCACACTAACTGAGTGTAATGTAGTATTTAAAATGCAGAATATGATTTTGCACTTGATTCGATATTCCGGGGGGGAAACAGTGCATTTATTACCTTAAGATATTTGAATTTCTTTTAAGTGTGGCCTTACTGTGAATTTGCTGAGTTTATAATGCTTGGTTTTGGGATAGTTACAACATCCCTGCGTAGCCTAAATATTTGCTAAGTAAAGAATAGGCATAAGTTAAGGCAGTAAAACAATGAGCCTACATGTCTACATCCTGTAAGACATTAGCTTGAGCAGTTAGCATAAGGCTTTGAGGCCCATGGCCTAAGCAAGAGCAAGTTACCAGACGGTTACTCTGAGTTTTGAGGGAACTGGTAAAGGTGTGTTTACAGGGGAAGTTCGTACAAAATGATACCAGGTAACTGCAAGAACATTGAACTGATACTAGGCTTGGATATTTTAGGATTAAATTTTGGCAAATGCTTAACTGCAAGTTTGCCTTGACAATGACTTAACAAATATGGTAATAAGCTAAAATCATTAATATAGTAACCTATAGAGTAAGGACACCCCACATTATTAAGGTGAAGAAATACAAATAAGGAAGAGTAGAGAAACCCTTACTGAATATGCATTAGGCATAGTGGTGTCAGCATAGCATATTATAAAAGTTGCATACCAGTCTATGTGCTTAGAGAGGGAGAGTTGTAGCCCTTGGGACGTGCCATGATTACGGCCACTGGTGATGGTGATGAGAAAGATAAGGACTAACATTGCAGGTTGTTCTGCAAGGGATAGTGTAAGTATATGGATGTTCAGATGTACATTCCATCAACTTTGCTGGGTTAGCATGTTGGTGACTTTGTGAACTGTACTAATCAAGCTATTACAAATCCAGAAGGGTTTTCCTGCATGTGAATGTTGAAATTGTGCACATCAGGGTTCCCAACTGAACAGTAATTTTAATACTAGGCCTGATCTTGGGACAAGAACCTACAAACTTCAGAACGTTAACTAGAAATTCTTAAATAATCAATATAATTAATACACAATCTATCAGGCAACATCTGTAATTTTTTGTTACTCTTAAATTAGATACATTCTCTAAGCTTTAACTTTTTGTCTGGGATATATACAAAGGTTAGTAATGCTAATATTATAGTGTCCTAGTTGTAAAATCCACTGATTACAGAATTCTAGATGCACTGCTTTTGCACAATTTGGTAACTGACTTTACTCTTTCAGTCATCTTGAATCCATATCCTATGCCCAGATGAATGGTCATGTGTATAATCTTTTTTTAAAAATGGCTAAGTATAGTACCACAGGAGCAAGTTGCAGGCTGGACAACTTGAAAATTGAAAGAGTACAGCATGTCAGAACAACAAATGAAATGGATCTGGAATTCTGAGTGTAAAACAGTATTTCCAATACTGTTTATAACTTCCCAGTGAAATTAATGTCGCTATAGCAAATGTGAGTGAATTACACATCCTCTTCCAGATTAGCCTGCTAACAAGCTGATCTCAAACCATGACTATAACTGTATCCGCAGAATGGCAGCTGTTTTTAATCTTTTTTTACATCTCAAAAATAACCACTTTTAAATCATGTTTGCATATGCACCCCATGTTCTGGATGCTGAGATGATAGTCTGAGAATGCTAAACTTTACATGACTATATATGCTGACATAAATAGTGCAAAAAACAGTGATCTGGTATCATGAAATCCAGGACTGAGCATATCCTTCCTAACCTTTAGTACCAAGCTGGAATAAAATTCCTTCCATATTTCACCCTGTGGAATAGGTTCAATAGCATTTTGTGAGAAGGAAGTGGATTTCCTGCAGTTCCCCCCGGCCTCCAAATTCTGCAGTATTCAAGAGCTATCTCAAGCGGGACAATTTGGTAAGACTTTCAAAACGAATTTTGTAGCTTTGGACACAGGAACGTAGCACTAGAAGAGACTTCCTGGGTCACCAAGTCCAGTCCCCCACGATCAGAGGTAACCCCTTCATGTAAGTTTATGAATGGGATTATCAAGCTCCTCCTTAAAACTAATTAAGTGCTTTGCCCCCCACTACTCCTTTTGAAAGGCTGTTCCAGAATCACACTCCTCTGATGGTTAGAAACCTTCTAATTTCCAGCCTAAATTTATTCATGACCAGTATATACCCATTATTTCTTGTACCAAATTGCCACTGGCTTAAACAGCTCTTCTCCCACCTTGGTGTTTATGCTCTATAAATGCATCAGGGTGTAATCATACGCGCCCTCCTCCCCCCATTTTGCTAGGCTAAACAAGCCAAGCTCTTTTAGTCTCCTCCGATAAGATAGGCTCTCCATTCCCCTTCTCATCTTTCTTGAACATGGGGAGCCAGAATTACACATAGTATTCCAGATGAGGTAATAATTCTTTAGAAATACCTCATCTGATACACCCTAGGATTGCATTTGCCATTTTTATGGCTGCATCATGCTGATGGCTCAGCCATTCTGCAATCAAACTAATATACCCAGGTCTTTCTCTTAATCTTTTGTTTCCAACTGATGAGCCCCCCAACTTATAACAGGAATTCTTATTTGCTCAACAATGTTGAACATCTATATATCCAAGATTATTATAGACCAATGGGGAGATACTGAGCGCTCTTGAACTTATGTCTATAAATATTGGCTGGTTTGTTGCCTGTTGTCTTCCTCTCCCCTCTATGAGAGAAAAAGGTAAAGGGATGATTGAAATGTGACATTGTTTTCCTTAATAAGATCAGGTACCATCTCCCCCAAAAGCTTCCCATCTTTATATATTAGGTTCTCATGCTTTTTCCAAAGATCAGGCACTGTCAGCCATCTATATCTGCAGCATCTACCATGGAGGCAATTGTGCTTGCTGGAGCATCACATTCTTTAAAAAGTATATTTGCACTTAGTGCTGAACTAGCTCCAAACTTTCACAGATGGGGTTTTAAAAAATCTGCATGTTTCTTCTAGGATGGGAAAGTTTTTTGTTGTTGTTTTTTTTTTTTTTTTTTAAATATAAAGAGCATGAACAGGTATTTGATTACACAGAACTCATTCATTTATATTACAGGTAGTTTGCTAAAAGTACTTATGTATCTTCCTACCCACCCAGCACTTGGAAAAACAGTCTATGGATGTTGCCCTTCGACATGGCACCACTAACACCAGACAAAGAAAAACCAGAGGACTTCAACCTCGAGTTTCTACAAATCATAGATAATTTAAGAAAAAAAAATTCCTCTCAACAGGAGGCAATTCAATACCAGACCTCATTCTGATCGAGAGAAATGGTCACTGAACTAAAATTTGGTGGCTGCCTAGTGCAAGTTGTGATGCTTTCAGGCCAGATGCCAGCTCTTGCCCAGGCTGCAGGCATTAGCTAAGAACTGACAACCTCGTAGCTGGAGAGCAGACCAGGTCACCTATATGTTAGTTTTGTTCAAAATAGGTATTAGTCTTATAAGAATATATTTAGTATTTAGACTCTATGAAATGCTTGTATGTTGCTACATATAGAAATCTCACTTATAATATCTATATCCCATGTTATAAGGTAATATTGAAATGTTTGCTCTGTAACTGTAAACCCCACCTCCTCCCCACACCAGTCAGGTGAGAAACATTACCAAGTTTGAAATACTAGTTTGTCACAAGAGGTGTTATCTACTGCCCCACAGACCCCAGACAAATCATTGTGGAACATGAGAGGACAAATACTTTTTTGATTGCTCCCCCCACACCCATAAAGAGGAGATATGCATGTGAACTCGTCCCATCATCTTGAACTCTGGGTGAAGGGAATAAAAATCCCTGACAAGAAGATATTGCATCTTTTTGTCTATTTGAACGGGGGGGGGGGGGGGGGAGAGAGAGAGAGAGAGACAGACAGACAGACAGACTCTAAACTGAAGCCAGAGATCCCCAAGAGCCTCCTGGGTCTGCTCTGAAAGACACTTTGAATTGACAGATCACTACAACTCTGTCACTCTGAGGAGTTGGATAATAACTCGTGTGTGTGTATGGTGGCTTGCTTTAACTTGTAAATAATTCTCTTATTCCTTTTTTCCTAGTTAATAAACCTTTAGATAGTATCCATGTTAAGACTGTTATAATGATCCAGGAGTTCACATTTGTTACTGGTTTGGTGAAATCTAATTATAGAACATCAACAGTTTGGGGTTTCTGCCCTTTTTTGACAGTCTGCACTGAGGCAAGCACTCACAGTCATGAGCCCCTCCAGGCAGGGTGACACAAGTGATCAGGACCTTATTACATCTGCTTTGTGAAAACACAATGCAGTCCCACAGAGTAATAAGGATATTATACCTACAAACAAGGAGAATGCTTCAAAGGGTTTGAAAGCTAAAAGCTAAATATAATTATGAACAAAATTAATTGCGAACACAAAAATGTTAATAGACATATGAATAAAAGTTTGGAATTCTTTCAGAACACCTTATTAAATGTCCCAAAGCCATAAATCTATCGTGGAAAAATGCTAATACAAAACCAATTTGGAAATGTGAAAGCAGCAATTAAAAAAAATAATAATGAGGAAACCAATCTAGAACAAATGGAAAAAGGGGGAGGCTCATAGCAATAACATGTTTGAATTTAAGAAATTTAGGCAATTAATAAGGGGATTTTAAACGCTATCAGTGAAGTACCTATGGCCATTTTGGTTAGAGTTTTGTGGTTAACAATAAGGAAGCATAGGAAGCATTTTTAAATGCTTCAGGAAGTAAATGGTCATAGTGGTCCTTTCTGTCTGACACTATTAAACTTCCATGTGGAAGATGCAAGGAGATGTTTCTTTGGGTATAAGTTACTTTAGGTACTGTCAGGATAGTAATGAGGATGTTTTTACACATCCTTCAGCCAGTCAATGATGTGCTGGAATGAAATGAATACTATCACCCCAGCCACAAAAAGATAGGTCAAGATATTCCATAATTTTTACCTTGAGTCCTTAGTGGTTTCAAATGTAAATAGGATTATCCTAGTGTATCTAGTCCATTCACAGTGGGGAAAAAAAATCATGTTCATAGATTCCAAGGCCAAAAGGGACCATTGTGATAATCAGGCTATAGATTCTCCAAAATAACTCCCAGGGCATATCTTTTAGAAAAGCAACTGAAATTGATTTAAAAATGGTCAGTGATTGAGAATCCACCACAACCCTTGCTAAATTGCTCCAGTGATTAACTACCTTCACTGTTAAAAATTTATGCCCCATTTTCAGTCTAAATTTGTCTAGCTTCAATTGGATCATGTTATACCTTTCTCTGTTAGACTGAAAGGCCCATTATTAAATATTTGTTCCCCAAGTAAGTACTTACAGATTGTATTATCAAGTCACCACTCAACCTTCTCTTTGTTGAGCAACCTCACTGAGGACAGGGCTTTGTTCTCATTAGTCCATATGGAGGTATGGGTTGTGTCACAATAATCCTCCAGCTGATTTGGGTCATCAAATTAACTAAACACGCTGATGAAACATCGCTATAATTTCATATAGTAGATTGAGACTGACAGCAGATGTGTGACAGAATTTGAATAGATGTCCATTTGGTTGCACTGAAACTGTCAGCACCAGCTCCTGACAGATTTGGAGCAAGAGGTGCCATGCATATTTGAAGCATAGGAGACAGGCTTTGTGCCAGGACAGTGATTTGACCAGCTAGAGATGAAGTGTCTGTGTCACCAATACAAAGTTGTGAGGTAATAGTCATCAGATTGCATGAGATAAAGCTGAGGCAGGGATTCAGAGGTCTGTATTAGTAAACACCGTCAGAACTGGAGTCTTTGAAAAGTCAATAGTAAAAATCAAGGTTAGTAGAGGTATGGCTGAACCAACAGATCCACTTTTCACAGTGGCAGCAGCTGTGAAAGGGCATTCACCTAACGTTAGAGGTGAAAAACATTAGACACAATAGAAGGTTGTTGTACTTGCTCTGAAGATATATAGTGCCCACTGGAATTCTAAAGCTACAGGACTTTCAGTCATGAACTAACTACAGAACCAAGATTTGGGCTTCATTATGATTTTTACACTACTACTGAAATGCCAGAGTATATATTAACATCTGTCTAATTCTTATTTCGCAAACACAAACTTTAAAAAAAAAAAACCCTAAAAACTCTTGTATAAATTTTGTTTCTCACCCAGAGACAAGATCTTAGTAATGCGATTTTGTTAAAATACGGCACTAATTGAATTTTTTAAAATTGGAAATACATTTTTTGCCTCTACTGGAATTTTAATTTTAAAGACTTGTTTATAGGGTTTAGAGCAGTGGTTCTCAAACTGTGGGTCAGAACCCCAAAGTGGGTTGCGACCCTGTTTGAATAGGGTTGCCTGGGCTGGCTTAGATTTGTCAGGGCCCAGGGCGGAAGCCCAAGTCCAAACCCCACCAACCTGGGGCCAAAGCCTGAGGGCTTCAGCCCTGGGCAGTGGGGCTCAGGTTACAGTCCCCCCTGCCTGTGGCTGAAATCCTTGGGCTTCAGCTTTGCCCCTCCAGGGTAGTGGGGCTCAGGCTTTAGCTCCCCCCCACCCACCCAGGGCAGCAGGACTCAGGTGGGCTCAGGCTTCGGTCCCCCCTCCTGGGGGTCATGTAGTAATTTTTGTTGTCAGAAGGGGGTCGCGGTGCAATGAAGTTTGAGAACCCCTGGTTTAGAGCAACATGTTTACATCAACTAAAAATTATCTCAATCATTTACCTATTACAAATAACATTTAAGAATACTATAACAATTAGATTTTTTTTTTTTTTAATATATCAGTTTCAGTTTCCATTCCCTGTTTCTGTGGATCTCATACAAAAAAAAGGAAAAAGAATTAAAAAAATATATGAAAATGTAATTGTAAAAATGACAAATTACCAGGATGACTCTATTTCAGATATTACATCTGTCCCTATTTAGATTTTTTTTTAAAGAACAGAGTAGATTTCAAATATATTGCATCTAGTTTTCAGCGAAGTTGGCAGAAATAGCTTTGGACATTCCCAATACACAGACTGGAAGTATACCTCAAAGAATGGAAATTTATTACAACCTGTATTTATAAAATTTCCTATTTTTGTTTGTAAAAAAAATAATCAAAATAATCTCACCTTGTTCGCCCACATTCACATGTTTTTGTCATAAAGGCAGGGCATGATGGGCAAGGACCTGGATGGCAGAGGCTTAAAAATGAAAACATTTTAATAAGTCACAAAAAATATATGGTATCTTTATTTTTAAACTTGTTTCACTAGTCAGAGAAAAAGTTTCTACAGTCTGCAGCATTATAAAAGGCTTGTAAATTTAAAACACAACAGTACATTATCAGAACATTTGTATATTAATATTTTTTCCTAAAGTGTTTTACAAAGTTATATTTACACTAACAAAAACTTAGTGACAATTCAGGATCTACACCACTCACCCAAATCCTTGAGAGCATGGAAATAAGTTAAAGGCAAGGTCTCCAGTATTCTTTGCCACCTTCACATCAATTACAACATTGTTGATGATACACTCCTGGACTCTAGCAAAAGATGTGCCTACCTTTCAAATCTTCAAACCTGCTCTTCTGTGACACTAACCCTCTAAACTTTTTAGGCATTTGGCATATATATTAATAACATTTTCTTTCAGACGCCACAGTTGTTTTTAACTCTCACTAACATTTATCTCTGGGTATGTGTGTAATGCCAACAGACCGTCGGTGGGCAGGATTGAACCTGGAATCTCTGAAGCTTAGTGTATGAGCCTCTACTGCATGAGTTAAAAGCCAGATGGCTATTAGCTAAGGCTGTAGCAGACTCAACAATCTCTAGCTGGGCTAGGTACCACTAGAAGGGACAGAGTGCCACACCCAAGCAGGCATGGGTAACGTGTACACTGGAATTGAAGGGGAGAGGTGATTTCAGACTGTGTAAAAATACCTAGTCTAGCTTTAATCTAACTCACTCATAGCATGGATAAAAATAGCAGTGAAACCATGGCAGCACAGGCTGTACAAGCCCACCTGGGACCCTGGGTATATTCTCACGTTCCTAGCATGCAATTAAGCTCTTGCCACCATGGCATCACTGCTATTTTTAGCTGTGCTAGCTAGATTAAAGCTTGTGTGGGTATGCCTACACAAGCTGCAATCACACCTTTGATTGGAGTGTAGGCATACCCTTTGTGAAATCTGTCTTTAACTTAAAGGCTCTATCATTTAGCTTAAAGAGTAGTAGCTGATTCTTTTAAATCCAGAAGTCCAGGGCTCTTTTCATACAGATGTCCTGACTAGGGGCATCATTACACAATAACAAGTTACTAGAGGAGGACAAAAAGCCATGCTGTGTCATTGTAGATTGTACACTCGCTTTGACAGGGAACCTCTCTCATTCTGAACTCCAGATGTCCATAGCACTTTAAATCCTATAAGTAGGCTTGAAAGAATTAGATTTTTATCTGTAAATTTCAGTAAATATTGACTTCACTGTACTCACACAAACCGATGAAAAAATATTTCCATCATAATAATTGAAATTTACTGAGACATTTACAGTAAAAAAATGCTGCTTGAGAACTTTGATTTAATATTTATTGTATATATGTTGACATGTGATTGTGACAATTTGTGTTTGAATTTCAACACCTACTGTCATTAAATAATTATTGTTGACCCATCCCCCATTGTCTGACCCTCCCATAATTTCCTGCAACGGTGAAAATTTAAATAAAATAAAAATAAAAAATAGAATGCTTTAAAACCATAATTTTGCACAACCGTGACAATTTAAAATTAATAAAAATAAAAAATGCTTAAAAACAAAAAATCAAATTCAGCCAAGCCTACCTGTGTCTGTGGGGATTGAAGCAGGGATCTCGGAATCTAAAAGCATGAATCTCTAGTGCTTGAGCTACAGAACCAGGTGCAGACTCAAGCTACTAATTGTGGTCTAGTCCCTAAAAGTCACTAAAAACTACACTCTGTTAGGGTGGGTTACCACATGGTCTTCTAAAGTTCTCTAATATATCTGGTGCACCATGTCCTCCTAATCCCTCTGCCATTGTAGAGATAATGCTAATGCTATAATTATAGCTTGTGTCCTCAGCAACACTCTGTCAACATTAACTCCCATGCTAACCATTATATGTCATCAGTAACAATGACAACCTTGAATAGTAACACTATGTCAATATCAATATTCAAGATAACTTTTATATTTAAATTTTAAAAACATGTTGCAATCTTTAGCAAGCATTTTTCTAATGTATTCAGAGAAAAGTATAACAACTTAAAACATCAGATAATAGGAAAAATTTAGTCACATGGCATATTTTAAAAACAGTCATAACTAACCTTTTTGTTTGTTTTATAACAATACAATGTTAGAATTAGAAATTAAAACCACAAAGGTAAGGAAATGCAAAAGCTCAATGTCTCAGTGACATTAACTGATCTCCAATGCACATATATGTTTCTGATTAGCAATTAGACTCTTAAACACTCACCCTTAACTGGAACCCACTTAGACTGACAATTCCTCATGAACCAAGGTCGCTGCTCTCCAGGGGAGGAGAAACTCTTGGGAGACTAAGAAAGGCTATGGTAATAGGGGATATAGGAATATATTGGGTATAAGGTGACCAAGAAAACAGTTTGGAAACTTGCCTGCCTGTGAAAAGGCTGTGGATATCACAAGAAACCTATATGGACTTCTGATGATTGCTGTGGAGAAGTCTATGGTCATGTTACACACTGGTACCAACCATGCAGGAGAAAGATCCTGGAAGTTAAATTTAGCCTACTAGGAAGAAGGTTTACATCCAAGGCCTCTGTAGAAACCTTCTCTGAAATGCTTTCAAGTCCATGCCTGGTTCCAACTAGGCACAGAGAACTTTAGGGTCTCAATGCATGGTTGACAAGATAGTGTAAAAGAGGACAAGTTTAAGTTTACTAGGCACTTGGGAAGATTTTGTGGAAGGGGAAGCCTATACAGAAGGGATGGAGGCTCCACTTTAATTAAAATGAAACCAGATTGCGAGCACGTAAAATAAGATATTGGAGGAGTGTTTAAATTAAGAGGTGGGGGAAAGCTGACAGGAGTTAAGGAACACATCGATGGACAATTGCATCTGTATATCCAGTAAAGAATAGGAAGCAAAATTACAACTGAACTAGAGGATAAGGACAGGACAAGAACACATGAAATTTCAGTAAAATCATCAAGCGGTCAGATTAGGCAGTTAAAACAGGTGCTTGGTAAAAAAAAAATAAAAATAAAAATGATAGACAAATTTCTGTTCACAAACATGAGACGCTAAAGCAAAAATTAAAAGAACAAGAATATCTTACACTGGCAAATGATAGCTGGCATTGTGGAAATACGCTGGAATGACAAAAATCAGTGGGATACCATAATACCTGGTTACAACACAGTAAAAGACAGACTAGGCCAAATAGATGAGGGAGCAATATTTAAAGGATTTCCTAGAATGTTACCTGTGTTCTTGGGGAACCAGGGCACAGTATCCAGCATGTCTGACTCATTAAAGACCTCTCCCCCCCCCCCCCCCCCCCCCCAGCCTCTCTGCTTGAACCAAATCTGCATCAGAAGAAAGACTTACAAAAAGCAATGAAAAGACAGTGGGAGACATACCTAAACCCCTGGGTTAAGGATGACAGGATTAAGGAAACTCCCCTAGCCTTATTTGCATTGAAGATGGGACAAGGAAGCATCCCCATTAGCATACAGAATGGAGAACAGAGGTTCCAAGGCAAGAACCACATGGAACTCTGGGACCAGAAAAGAAGGGAAGCACTGCATGATGGGGAATCTCTGCTCCAGATGTTAATGAACCCATGCCTACACACACACACACACACACACACACACACACACACAGCTCAGTAATTATCAGACCAATTCTAGTAATAAATCCTTTATTGGTATCCAAAATAGCGAAGCTCCCTCCAAGAAACACCGCCCAAAACCAGGAATGATCAGCTCCCATGGTAGAGCCTGAATAAAACAACTTTGGTATACTCCCTTGTTTACGCATAAACAAATCTTGAACCATTGTTGTTTCTCTACAAAAAACCCTACCTATGCTCAAGTAAGTGTTCTGATGCCTGGATCCAAAATCTACATCAGTTCCATTGGGACTTCATCTTCTCCTGACTGATCGTGCTGCGAGCTCTGCCTGACTCCAGCACTCCAGACCCTCAGCTACCACCACCACCACCTGGGACCCCTGATCGATTCAAGCTTCACAGAGTGGCAAGAACCCAGCTCTCTCTCTCTCTCTCTCTCTCGGTATAGCCTTCTAACCCTGACTTGTGTGATCAGTTACAGTTTTGTACACCTGACTTTTATAATCAAATTTAAGTTAGATTTACTATTATAACTGTTTTGTTTGTTTGGCTCCCCTATGGTTACCACCTGGCAATAAATAACTTTCATGATTAAGCTGGTTGCTTCTCTCTCTCCCCCCCTCTCCCCACCATCGTGGGTGTTTTTTGGTTTCCTGATTTGCTCTGCAGCAACACTCCTTGTACCTAAGCTAAAAGATCCCTGCAGCGCCCAAAAATCCTGTGGAGTTTACTCATCAAGTGGGTTACTACCACAACAATTGTAACGTGAAAGTGGGGCTAGAGACGTGCTGAACCTGGGACATATGAGGGTGGCATCTCAGAAGTGCTGCTCGACCCAGTCTGCTGAGTCCAGGGGCATATGAGGGTGGCAGATTGAAAGTGCTGCTCGACACAGCCTGCTCAAGCATGCTCTATTCTGGTGCGGGGCCCATGGCATATGAGGGTGATAGCTTGGACGTGCTGTTTGACCCAGGCTGGTGAGTCCCAGGGCCTATGAGGGTGACAGCTTGGAGGTGCTGCTCAAACCAGCCTACTGAGTCCAAGGACATATAAGGTGTCAGCTTGGGAGTGCTGATTAACCAGGTCCTCTCAGACACAGTCTGTTAATGTGTGTTCTCGTCTGATTCTGGGGCTGGAAGAACCCAGCCCTGGGGAACCTAGTTCCTGCAGGATAGCTCCATTGGGAGGGAACTTGCAGCAGGGAGAAGTAGAGCTCCATATGAGAACACAAGTGACACAGCCAGTACATTGATAGAAGTACAGAACCCCCCACCACCCAAAGAGTAACCCTAACAAATGAGCATCCCCCAAAGTAACAGGCAAAGCTGG